CCTGCACAGTCTTACATAATACTTGCAATTTCGCTTGGCCATGGTCTCCGTAATTAAGTCCCCTTTTCTACGTAAGTCTCTAGAGAATTAAAAATTCAATATTTATGCATTCAGTCTGATTGGCTCAATTTCTTAATCCAAATCCAGTCTTTTTCTGAATCATCTAGATCCAGTTCAGTGTTTAGGAACTGGAGGATTCTACATCTGGTTCCATAATAGGATGGGAATCTAATCAGCTGGCTGACATCCTAATTGTAACACTATTAGTTGGAAGAAATCCTCTCAGAGTATAATTTGTGTTGTTGTATAACACTAAGCCACACTACAGAAGAATGAGGCAGTATGTTAATTGTCACTTCTGATAAGGACTGATAAGCCACTTAACCCTTCCCATCTGTGTGGAGTGGTGTCCTCTGATCACTATATACAGTATTGATTGGCCACTACCTCTTTCAGTGAGCTTTTTATTAACTCATTCACCCCTGAAGACGCATTTGAACTCTTCCCATTCAAGGGTTGGAATAGTTCATTATAAAATTTCGTAAGACCTTGGATCATCACCCTATTAGTGGTGGATGTCGTCTTATTGATCTTGGGTAAGGATCCATACCTGGCAAAAATTTTTGTCAAGACATAAACATTAATCAACTAATGTACTTTACACAAATATACAATGTAAAGAATAACCAAATAGCAGTTTACCTGAAGCACTTAGGGTTAAATAAACATATCTTCCAATGGATGTTCTTGAGTGTTGGGCAACTTGATGCCATAACTTATGATAGCCCAGGGAAGCATTGTTGTCCTTTGTAATTTCAGGTTCTTTGTTACTGATTTTCTTTTTTTAAAGTTTAAAAACACGAACAAGTATCAATGTGTCGTACAGGTACACTGTTGAATATAATACAGCTACTTAATGCCTTCCCATGATATATAGTCTAAATATTTGGCTGGCAGCTGACCATATGTTATATTGCACGAGGCCGAAGGTGGATTTTACCATAAGACATTAAATACCTTGTACCACATAATTAGGACAGACATCAAACACACTTTTTGTAAACGATTGCGCTTTATTTGCTCACTTGCAAGTTACCGTAACAGGATTTCTTTTAAGTTCAGATAAATTTTGTCAACATGTAAGATTCAAAATTCCTGAGCGATCATTGAATACATTTCTGTGAGTTTTTAGTTTGTATCAGGTGTGTGAAATCTTTTGCATTAGCGTAGAAAAGTGTCCTGTATAGACAGCGAGACGGCAGGTAACAACAACATGTAGTCAATGACAATTGCAAAACAATGTATTATGTAGTTATATGTAATATATATATGTATAGACTCTTTGTTTGTTATTATTAAGTACATTTCCATGTATTTTGTAATAGAATACATTGGCAACGTCCAAAAAGTATTTCTTTAATTAACTAAATTAAAATGTGTACAATCAATAATTTTACCAAGAGCTACCCCAAAATAAATAATGTGAACACAATTTTGTCGAGACCCCCAAAGTTGGAGGTCAAACCTTTGCCTCCCTGAGCTGCTGAGGCATTCCAATGCTGTCAATGCCTTATATATGTGGTACATATATACAGGTTCAGGAATATTACTAGGTAATACTGTATGCTTAGATGAAAATCATATTTTTTGAAATAGTTGCTGTATATTGGACCTAATCCATAGCTACACAGATGACTGATGTCAGTGTAAGAATGCCTTGATCATGATGACTAAACTAGATTGTGTGACATTGATACACCTGAAATAGTGCTATATTATGATACATGTGTATGCGTATGAGGTTTTACCGATGCCTGTTGTAATTGTCTCCCTAGTATATTGTTACAAGTATTTAATGGTAAATATGTCAGGGGAAACATAATGTAGGCACTGAGAATGGTAATAAATGTTAATAGCTGTCTGGGTTTGGGCATAAAGTCATCATTTTCGTCATGTTTCCTTCCCAAAAGGCTGGCACATGTACAGCATGAAACCAATACAGAAAAACAATCAGTCAGTGATCTTAGCTTACCAGTACTTTAAAGGCATGTTCTTATACGGACGTGTGTGTGCAGGTGGAATAAGGTTTAAACTTACCAGAGGTAGATCTTTATTAAGAGTCTGATCTGTGGCTTATTTCTAAATCCTACACTTGAAAGAAACAAAAAAATAATCACTTGTATCTGAATATATCTGATGAAATAAAATTGTAAATCCTGAATAATATCCCTTGAATATTTATTTACCAAAGTGTCATCTGACTAGGTAAAGCATACTATCTGGGAAAAGGAGGGTGAAAACAAAACTAACCAGATCTTGTCTGTGCCCAAAATGATGTTATACTATTTGATAAATGTGTTAGAACTTTTTTTTCAATCAGATAAAATAAAATCCAAAATGTACCAGATGTTCAATAAAATATAATTATCAAATGCCACCGACATTAAATTGCTAGGTTAGTCCCGGAAATTAAAACAAGAATATCAATTTAAAGGCTAGTCATAAAGACAGCTTTGACATCACTCTGACCTGATCACAAGTTTCATTATTAGGGCTGATATTACCATATTAGGGCTTTCTGTTATAAAGGCTGGTATTGATGTAGTGATGTAGTGATACAAGATTTTGGCACGTTCCATGCCCACACACCATAACAGGGGAATGGTTAACCAGAGGTCCGATAAACAGTTTTATTTACAATACAGGAAAGGAGAACAGGAAACTTAAATGAAAAATAATAATAGCATAAGCTCAATGTGCTCTGGTCATTATCATGTATAACACTTGTATAGATATAGCAGAGGTCTAAATTGTATAGCTTATAATGTAAAGAATTAATGGGGTGACCTATTGATTACAGTAGAATTAGTTTTATACAATCTGTTTTTTTGACACTTAATATATTATACTTTCATCTCTCCTGTAAATTATGATCAAGAGGCTTTTAAAATAGTTGAAATTTAAGTAAAGTAGGGGTTCCCTCATTTGTGATGTTATTTTTGGATGGAAGGGTACTTGTATATATTCATGTTTATCTGAAGCTTGTCCTTCTGTCCTGGGAAGTGCTCCTCCATGTTGTAACACAAAATTGATCCAGAGATCTCGATCAATACACGAAACCCAACATTCTACAGTAACTAACAAACCTCCTCATGCCATCTGCTCGCTCTTGTAATGGAGGATGTAGTGATTCTAGAATCCTAGACAATTAGAGGGGATCTTGAAAGGGTTAGGAAACAACTCAATTACATTGTATACCACCCCCCCACCCCCCAAAAGGTCATATGCCAATGGTCAAATGTTATTGTCCTTTTTCAAGCACATGAAGAGTCATTTGTATATATGTTAACTTATTCACCCCTGAAACACATTTGAACTCTTCCAATTCAAAGGGTGGAATAGTTCACTATGAAATTTCAGGGGTGAATGAGTTAAATAGTCTCCATCATCTCTATGTATCCATTACCTCAAGGTGAAACACACAGCAAGAGGTCAAAAGTCACTACTGCCATGCTTGTATTGACCATTACGGTTAGTACTAAAAACTGTTATTCATGAATTTGAATTTTGAAGACATTGGTTCCCATACCATACACAGATTTGTATATATATATCAGTGTCACAGAAAATAGGCCAAGGTCAGATAATTGGAATATATTCCTCAAAAGTTGTATTAATTAAAGTATATGCTCATTGTATGAATTGTATAGATATGTACTGTAAAGCACTTTAGAGTGGCTTATGTTAGCTAGATAGGTTGCTATATCAAATGTTGTATATTATATTATTTTATTATTATACTGAATTGCTGAAGAAAATGTGATGAAACCTACTTCAAATATGAGTATTACGGCAAGATGATGTGTCAAACATTTTACAATCACGTCAGGGTCTAAGGTCATAGCAGAAAGTTCAAAAGTCAAATAACTGATGCTTGTCTGGATTGTAACTTTTGTATAGTTCAAAAGTTTCTGTTGAAACTTCCTGTTTATTTGTGAACTAGGACCTGAAGGAATGTTGCTTTAATTACCATGTGTACACACAATTGTAGGTCTCTGTTGTCAAGGTCAAAGGTTACTTGAATCTTAAAAACAAATTTCCTGTGGCAGGAGTATTTCCTGGTAAGCTCAGGATCATTTTGTTTTATTATTCTAGAAAAAACAACTGTGTAATTAAATTAACCATGGTATAATTTAGAACTTTAAAATGTGGTGTTTGTTTTTTCCCAACTTGTAATATATTTGTTTGTATTTACTCATAAATTTCATTTATATCCATATCATGTGAGCTAAAGAAATTGTAGGAGACCCCCGTTATTGGCTAATGATATCACTGTTATTGTTGGAGTGGGACCTAAATTCTAAAACAAGTCAATGTTCAGACAATTAAATTGTCAGATCTATTGCATTATACCAACTAATTGTAATTGGTCTAACAATGCTTTCCGTGGTTTGTATAGATATAACATTGCTTAAAGCTATGTCACTGACATGTCAAGTAAATGTTTAATTGAAATCTGATATAATCAGTTATTGTGGTGTTCATACCGTTAAGATTTTGAAGAAGCAGGCATGGAGAAGAGTAGGGGTTTGGATACTGGAATGAGATTGTCTTTTCATTCGTCTGTCTGTATTGTCCAAATAATTCCTACTACATTTTTCTTGGAACTCCACTGATGTTGTCAGCACACTTAAGTTGTGTACCCATGCCCACTTATTACATACATCATCCTACAGTCATCATCCTGATTTTGTGAAGCCCCATCATCACAACACTCTGGAGTTGTTCTGCCCATATTTTTAAATCTAGTATTTTTATGGAAGTTATCCCCTTTTGTGAAATTTTAGCCAAATTTTGTAATAAGATTTAAATAATTTGCTATTTTGATGATATTTATGCCTATTATTAATATTAATTAGCCATTGTCTTACATTTCTAGTTTTTTCTGCATTGAAAATATTGCTAAGATTGCCTTAACATGTGTGTTTTTATACCCACAGGTGGTGCCTATTTTATGATATCCCGGAGTCTGGGACCAGAGTTTGGGGGGGCCATAGGCTTGGTGTTTTCTGTAGCCAATGCCGTTGCTGTAGCAATGTATGTAGTGGGCTTCTCAGAAACTGTCCGAGACATCCTCAAGGTAACCCTCACAACCATGTTAATTTCTTCTCAAGAGTCGGTTCAGCCTAAAAGATTCATTAAAATGTAATAATAAATACTATATGTAATCTTAATTCTTATGGATTGGCTTTTTTAAAGTCAACACAATTTCACAAGATAGATAATCCAAGGAAAACACCGGCTGTTTATAATACAATGAGATATAGCATGTAAAATCTTGTTGTATTGTCATCGAACTGTCACCAAAATGTTATATCACTACAAAGTGGAATGTCAGTCTGTATTATCAAGTTAGTGGAATGAAGTGTTCATGCACATCAGCTTGATACAGTAGTAAACTTACCGCATGGTAACAAAGGTGGACCAAAATGGCAAAATGATGTAAGACTTACGTCTCATGAGATTAAGATAGATATAGAAAACAGGTCTATTATTATATACAGATATTGTTATTTGATAATAAAGATCTCCCATGCATGCACTGACAAGAAAGGCTTACATAATATGACATTTGAACAAGGCTGATATTTATAGGAGCTGTATTGAATCATTCTGGTGCTATGACAATAGGTTGGAAATAAATTGCTGTAAAATACTTGTTGTCACAGGTGTCATCTGTGGTCAGCTGAGATTACAAATCCAATGAAATATCTTATATAGCCAGGATAACATTAAACAAGTCTCACTGATATCATTGCCACTATCCCTTGTACATAAATCAGTTTGTATTGCACTTCAGTGTCCATTATGATCCCTCAGCTACTACCTAACTCTGTGGTATAGTACGGCTTATCACAGCATTATGACACGAGTTCTATTCTACAATTTGTGACAACAGATGCTACTGCAACAGTTATGATAATAACATTTTAACTATTACATGTGTAAGCATTGTCAAGTTAAATGTGATAACCTCAAAAACAACAACAAAACTTCACATGCGACTGATTGTGTACAGGAACTATTAATGGTGATGAAAAATGATGGGCCACTTTTGCTGTTTTGTCAAAAATGAATAGATAACATCTTTGCATATATATATAAAAGTATATAGTTGCTTTTCAAATGAGATCTGAGGATCAATCTAGATTACAGGATAATATGCAGAATCCACACATTATTTTGGATATAAAAAAAATGACAAGAAAATAAATCTGGGATATTCCAATGTTGCACTAAAAAAAGCAATTTACACATACCTAGATTTCAACGGAAATAAAAGTTGTTCATTAACAGGAAGGACAGCTATTTCATTTTAGGTTGTTTTCTATACCAAACACAGACTAGGTAACTCTTTCTATAAAACTAACTCGAACTGAAATCTGTTTTGGTGCAAATTGAACTACTAGCTCAAGGGAAACCTTAAACTAATGGAAAATAGAAGAATCCCATAGAAGTGTTTTATGTCAGTCGTCTGGAATTTATTTGATTAGCAAATCGTAAGATTTGTTTATTGATTTTCCGTTTTTTCTGTTGATGTAGGTACACAACGCCCTGATGGTTGACGAAGTAAACGACATCCGTATCATTGGGGTGTTGACCATTACCTTTTTGCTGTTTATAGCCATTATAGGAATGGAGTGGGAGGCCAGGGTATGTGTCTTCTTCATGTACATGGTCAAAGGTTATCATATACAGGGTCAAAGACTGATGTCATATTCATGTTCAGGGTCAAAGGTTATCATATTTATATAAAGGGTCAAAGGTTATATTTATATACAGGGTCAAATATATATACAGGGTCAAAGACTGATGTCATATTCATGTTCAGGGTCAAAGGTTATCATATTTATATACAGGGTCAAAGGTTATATTTATATACAGGGTCAAATATATATACAGGGTCAAAGACTGATGTCATATTCATGTTCAGGGTCAAAGGTTATCATATTTATATACAGGGTCAAAGGTTATATTTATATACAGGGTCAAATATATATACAGGGTCAAAGACTGATGTCATATTCATGTTCAGGGTCAAAGGTTATCATATTTATATACAGGGTCAAAGGTTATATTTATATACAGGGTCAAATATATATACAGGGTCAAAGACTGATGTCATATTCATGTTCAGGGTCAAAGGTTATCAAATTCATATACAGGGCCAAGGACGATGTCATATTATAGGGTCAAAGGTTATCAAATTCATATACAGGGCCAAGGACGATGTCATATTATATGTACATGGTCAAAGGTTATCATATTCACATACAGGGCCAAAGACTGATGTCATATTATATGTACAGGGTCGAAGGTTATCATATTCACATACAGGATCAAAGGGTCACTGCATAAGTTTACATCATCTTAATCAAGATATTTTGGAATTTTGTTTCTGCTCAAATTATTGTAAATCAGGAAAATTGCAAAACAGCTTGACGCTAGAATGGTATGACAGTATTATCTTTAGCTCAACTGGTCCGAATGACCAGACGAGCTTATGCCATACCGTGGGGTCCATCGTCTGTCGTACGTCAATGTGTCAATTATTATTGATTCAAACGACTTTTTCTAAACCACTGATTGTAATTTAACCAAATTCGACTGGAAGCGTCCCTAGGTAGTACGGATTCAAAATTGTACAAATGGAGGGGCTGAGGGGTGGGGCCAAAAAGGGTTATTTGGCGACTTCTTCTCTGGTCCAGCAATGGATTTAAACCATATTTGACTGGTAGCATCCCTAGGTGGTAGGGATTCAAAATTGTACAAATGGTGGAACTGACTCCCCAAGGGGCCGAGGGGTGATTTGGTAATTTGGCTATTTTGCTATAAGTGACTTCTCTGATAAATATCAACTATGTTTTGTTAGAAGCATCCCTAGGTGGTGGGGATTAAAAATTGTCCAAATGGACATGCTGACCCCCTCCCCCTGCCGGGTAAGGGGTGGGGCCAAAAATAGTTTATAACTTTGAAATGGTTGATATCCCCACCCTATAACCATGCATACAAGTTTTGAGTGTAAAGATATGAATGCACATATGCTTCCAGGATGGCCCTGGGGGTCAGGCCCACCCTGGAGACTAAGTCCCTTGGCCATAACTTTGAAACAGTTGAGATCCCCACCCCAAAACTAAATATACAATTGCTAGGCATAAAGGGACGAACTCAATTATGATATTAGCATTGACCCTTGGATCTGCCCACACCCCTAGGGACCTAGTTTCTGAGTCACAACTTGTAAACAGTTGAGATCCCCACCCTATTACCATATATACAATTGCTGAGTATAAAGAGACGAATGCACAAATGCTTCCAGGATGGCTCCAGGGTCTGTCCCACCCTTGGAGACGTAACCCCTGGGTCATAACTTCGAAACTGTTGGCCCTATCCCTTGGATCTTCTTTGAAGAACATTTTACCATGATTGCTTAGATATCCAGATGAGCGATACAGGCCCTCTGGGCCTCTTTTTCTGTCTTGTCTGACAGCTGCTAGTGCTTGATTGTTTTGTTTAAAGCTAGAAAAGGGTAGTGTTTGTTTTTTTCCGAGTTTTTGTTTAAAAAATCTGCATAGTTGATTAAAATGTGTTTGCTTCTCTATTTCAGGCCCAGCTGATTTTGTTAGGGCTTTTGTTAGTTGCTATAGCTAATTTTATGATAGGAACATTTATACCATCAACTCCAGAACAAATTTCTAAAGGGATTGTTGGTTATAAAGGTAAGACAATTTTATGTAAAGTATTTTAGAATTGCTGATAAATTGTCAGCAAATCTGCCATCCAGGCTCAGGTTTGTAAATCCTGATTAGCTTAATCAAGTGTTACTTTCAATGATCAAATTAAATATTATTATACCCACAAACCCTCATTTCCCCACGAATGAAGTTTGGATAGGAATCACTCTGTCTCTGTCTGTTCATGAACCTCTTAAGCTCAACTCCTCCTCAACTATTTGTTAAATTCTTTTTTGTAACTTGACAAAAGAACATTTTATGTAGATGTGCATGAAGAAAGGAACAATTTTTGTAATTTTACTATTTTTCCTGAAGTTCGGGCCCTTGAAACTTTAATTTCTGCTCCAGAAATGTTTTGAAGTGCAAATCCTCCTTAACCGTTTGTTGGATTTTGTAACTTGGCATAGTGAAGGTTCATCATATGTAGATGTGCATATCCATTATCTTGCTCGTTCATTCACTTAACATTATACAAAGTGTCTTAATGGATAATACATGTTCATGACATGTGACGTTCTCTCTGTAACACTCTTGTTCAGAATTTTAATGCATTTATAAAAAAAAAAAATATGAGATAAAGTCTGCATTAACATCTTATTAGCTGATCAGGCTGGCTAACTATACACTAGTAAATAGATACCCAGGTAATGTGATTTCATGTAATATATCCAGTTTTTATTGCATAATTTGGTTTGATTTTTAATGGTTGCCAAAAATGGATCACACTGCCAATACAATCACAACTGTCATAATTACAGTCCATCCAGAGTATTACAACAAATGATCACAAAGTGTTGCCTAGAATTTCTAAAACCATACTTTGTGACAGATATTGGATCATTTGTTTTGCTAGCTAGCTAGAAGTAATAGAACTATTATTCAACTCTTACTACAGAGAACAGTGGAATCAGACATTAAACAAAATCAGAAATCTATTGATATCCTGTGGTATCTGACATGATTGTTCGGCCCCAAAACACTGGTTTCTATGACAAGTTGGACTTATTTAGGCCAAACAAAATTGATCTTTGATTTCTCATCCATCTTCGTATGTCTTTCAATTTCACCTAATTGAATGTTTGAGCTAATGCTATTTGTCTTCGCCTGTTGTCATCTTTTAACAATTCAGCATTTTTAACATCTTCTCCAGAACCTTAGAAGTGATCGACTCCAAACTTGTACAAAATTTACAAATGTTTCTAATGAGATCCTGAAAACTAAATATTGTAGACCACCTATATTTTGCTCTTAATTTTACAAATTTATGTACTTATTTCATTTAATACTAGAATTGCAAATTTTACATGAAATATTTGTAATCTTCAGTAAGTTTTGACACGAAGCCACATAAGAATACTTACATTGATGACACATTGGTAAAAGTGAAATACAAAATATTTGTTATCAAAAACAAATTGATTTTTTTTTTCAGGTAAACTTTTTGTGGAGAATTTAGGACCAAAATATACTGATGGAGAAAACTTTTTCTCAGTTTTTGCTGTATTTTTCCCAGCTGCTACGGGTATTTTAGCTGGAGCTAATATCTCAGGTGATTTAAAGGTGAGAGTCTAAAGGATCACAGTTACTAGATAATCTATATATGTATTATTAGAATTGAAGTTTTCTAGCATTGAGAACAATTTCTTTATAAAATAGGCAGTCCTATTCATTCAACTGTCCGCCTTTCACATTTTTAGCCATCCATCATTTGCTGTAAGCTGTTGAAATTGCCTTTTGTCTGTGGTCAGTGTGCTCTTTAACAAGTTCTGTTGATGCTATTTCTCAGGAGTACTGGAAGGATATTTCTCAAATTTCACATGTTTGTACTTTATGGTCTCTAGCTGTGTATATTGAAGTTTTTGACTGATCAGAAAAGCCAAAATTGCCAGCCAACAGATGTTGGTTTATCTTGGTCCCAAGTTGTGTATAAACCAAAATGGCTTACAGGTCACCATTTGGAATTTGGGAGTTAAATATTGTTAGCTATTTTTCTCAGAAAGAGCTTTAGATATCTTGCTCAATTCAGGGATATTTCGCCAACAGGTGGACGTCTTAAATTTTGAGAGTTAGTGTTTAAGCGCTATTTCTCTTGAGAGTACTGGTAGGATCTTTCTCTAATTCCACCTGTATATTTCCATGTTAACAGATTTCCAGTAACCAAAGAAACAAATTACAAAACAAAATGAATTGTTAATGGAACATATCCTTACATATCTGCACCTCAGTCTTGAAAGTTTTTTGCAGTTTTTGCCACACCCCTTCCATCACGCTATGCCACACCCCTTCCATCACGCTATGCCACACCCCTTCCATCACGCTATGCCACACCCCTTCCATCACGCTATGCCACACCCCTTCCATCACGCTATGCCACACCCCTTCCATCACGCTATGCCACACCCCTTCCATCACGCTATGCCACACCCCTTTTATCACGCTATGCCACACCCCTTCCTTCATGCTATGTCACACCCCTTCCATCACGCTATACCACACCCCTTTCATCACGCTATGCCCCTGCCCTCCACACTTGGATTTTGGGTTACCTTTCACTTCTTCCACAGTGGTACATCTGAATGGCTATGTCTCAGTTTATATTGAATTTGAAACAAAATGGCTGACAGGTGACCATCTTGGATCTCTGGAAGATCTTCTAAGTTTAAAGTTTGTTATCATTATTTCTCAGAAATCGCTGCTTGGATCTTAATCAAAGTTCACATGTAAGTTCCCCCGATGGCACTTCTTTCGACAAGTCAAAGCAAGATTGCGCAAAAGTGAATTCTTTGATAAAAGTTTTTTCAAAAGAGACTTGAAACTTTTAACATGTTTACTCAACAAGTGGGTAAGGGAAAAGATAAGAAATGAGAGAAAATGATAATTGTGGGCTCCAAGTTTCCTCTTGGATCTCCAGTTATACTGTAATCTGGATGGAACACATCAGAGTATAGTGTCTTGAACTAGTATTGCTTCTATGTACATGTGTGCACCCTTCTTGCTTCATTTTTCTATTCATTGATCTACAGAATTTTTCTTTCTTTTCTTCAAAAGAACCATAGAAATTCATAATAATCACATTTTTTATTTACATATGTGCTTTGTTTTGTTAATGCTCAGTTTTCTTTCTGGAAAAATAGTTACAACTTTGTTTGTTTTGGTTGAATTTTACAGAATGCACAGAGAAACATTCCGAAGGGAACCTTTTATTCTATACTGATATCTACGATTGTGTATATTGGAATAGCGTGGGTACTTGGTGCTACTATCATGCGTGAAGCGTCAGGATACGCTGTCACAGCACTTCAGTCAGCCATAACCACCAACGTTAGTGCCAACGGTTCATATCAGTCCTCCCTCACCAACACCTCAGCAGTTCAGCATCAGCCCAGTGCTTTCAGTCTGGCACAGAACTGCAGTCTCGGCATGGACGGGAAATGTGAATTCGGTCTTCTCCATGACTACCAGGTATATTGTTTATAACAAATTAAGTGGTACTTTGTATGCTTCCCAGTTGAGAATGATATTGGCCGGTTGCAAAGGCCCTATAACCACGGATAATAATTTGTTAACAGCTTTAAGATGACCTACGAACTAGGTTGTGATAAAGCGGTATATAAGAACCTTGAATTATCATTATAATTATTAATTTAATGCTATATTTGACTTCAAAGTTTACCCTAAACATTTAGATGTAAACAAAAAAGAAGTTTCAATACTTTTTTTCAGTAATTCTTTTATTAAATGGTTTTCAAGAAAATGTTCCATCTTAATCACAAAGACTAAAAATAAAGAATGTATTTATTACAACATGACATTCTATTTTAACCACTTTAATTATTTTAAATGTCATTTGATTTGTTTGCTGTTAACAGACTATGGAGACAGCTTCAGGTTTTGGCCCCCTTGTGACAGTGGGAATATTCTCTGCCACCCTTTCCTCGGCACTTGCCAGTCTCGTGTCTGCTCCCAAAGTCTTCCAGGTACAGTCCATCGTTGACCGAGACATCTTGTTGATCAGGGCATGTTCAAATGAGTAAAAGAACAAATTAGAAATTCCAAGGTTGATGCAAGAAGTACTTTGACTAAGTGGGAAAATTTGAAGATATCATTGTCAAGAAAGATTTTCTTTTACGAAAACTGCATCTTTGGCAGAGTGCTTTCTTCCTGTAATTTTGGTTTTGAGTAACACACAAAAGGAAACTATGTTATCAGTTAATTTTGTTTCTTTCTAACATACCATTATGTGTTGTCAAATATCGTTTTAGAACTGTTGTGACAAAATATGTTGAAGCAATTTTATGGTGGAATTTTTAGGTCACCTGTTCTTTGCTCAAGTGACCTATTCTGATCGCTTTCCGTCCGTCGTCGTGCGTAAACTTTTTACGTTTTCGACTTCTTCTCCAGAACCAGTGGATGGAATTTTTTTTCAAACTTGGTCAGAATCATCCTTGGTAGATGAGGCTACAAAATTGTAAAATTGGGATACCTACCCCAACCCAAGGGTTCAAAAATCTTCTTCTCTAGACTCAGAGGTACTATAGTAGATTTCTCTGCATGGATGGAAATGTCATCAGGGGCTTTATTTAAATTGTAAATTGTAAATTTCAGTACCCCCGGGCCATCTGTTCTCTTTTGGAGAGGGGGTACAGTTTACTAGAGTTTATATAGGGAAATAACACTTTTGGGTATATTTTGTTCAGTTACAGTAGGAAATTATTCTTACTTGGTGAGAATCATCCTTGGAGGAAGATGGTATCAAATTATAAAATTGGGATTCCTGCCCCAACCCCCAGGGGCCAGGGTGGGGCACCAAAGGGAAAATTAACCAATATTTCAAAAATCTTCTTCTCCTTACTCAGAGGTACTACTACCGTCAAATTCTCTGCATGTATGAAACTATCATCAGGGGCTTTGTTTAAATTGTAAATTTCAGTACCTCAGGGCCATCTGTTCTCTTTTGGAGAGGGGGTACAGTTTACTATAGTTTATATAGGGAAATAACACTTCTGGGTATATTTTGTTCATTTTCAGTAGGAAACTATTCTTACTTGGTGAGAATCATCCTTGGAGGAAGATGGTATCAAATTATAAAATTGGGATTCCTGCCCCAACCCCCAGGGGCCAGGGTGGGGCACCAAAGGGAAATTTAACCAATATTTCAACAAATCTTCTTCAGACTAAGATGTAGTACAATCAAATTCTGTGCATGGATGAAAATTTTGTCAGGGGCTTCATCTATTTTTCAATTTTATTACCCCCGGGCCAACCATTCACCTTTGGGGAGGGGGTATAGTTGACTTTAGTTTATATAGGGAAATAATACTTTTGGGTATATTTTGTCCTTTTTCAGCAGGGAATTATTTAAACTTGGTTCAAATGATTATGATGCCAGATGGCATCATAATCATGGTATGAGAAAATAAGATCCTGCCCCATCCCCATGGGCTGGAGGGGTGCCGGGGCCCAAATGGGGATTATGGTTAAAATTTTTAAAAAAAAGTTCTTCATCAGGTTCAGATGTTTTACTGTTCATGGATAGAAAAGGTCCTTACCTAAATTACCATTACCTAAATTATAAATTTTATTATCCCCCAGGTCATCTGCTCTCCCTTTGGGAGAGGGTATAATTCTCAATAGCAAAATAATTTATTTGAATAGTTTTTAAAGTTCTTCTCCTTTTGGTGACATGACAAGTATTGTATTTCACTTTGTTTACATGTTGTTTTCCACAATTTGTACATCTCAACAATTAAATTGAGCAACTGGTGCCTATAATATAACTCAGTTGACCGTTGTTTTTTTTCCTTATCCGTTTTAGTTCTCTCAATGATTTGAGATTTTAGGTGGCAGGCAATATAAATCTCTCCTTTATAAGACAAATTCATTTCTTTCTTTTATTATACAGGCAGTTTGCAAAGACAAGATATTCCCAAAAATCCATATCTTCGCCAAAGGTTATGGTCCCAGTGATAACCCAAGGCGAGCCTATTTATTAGCCTATTTTATTGGTGTGGCATTCATTTGTATAGGTAAGTACCTCAGTCATATACTGTGTGCTGTGTTGCTTCCCACATTTTTCATATTTCAAAAAAATATCCAGTTTGTGCATCAGTTGAAGTTGTTAAAAAGTTTTTAAAAATCATACTAATTCTGATGAGGAAATTTTTATATGGTAATAAAGAAACTGGTATGTTTCATATTTTGAAGAATATTAATGGTAGCTTATAAGTTAAACTATGATGATATTAATATAAGCAAGGGTAATTGTAAATGAGATATGGTAATATTCTTCATTTTTTAATTCCATCCTTTGAGGGAATATCAATATTGGTAAAAGAGCTTGAGCAACAGACAGAAAACATAACCATGAAAATAGCATTGCATGAAAAAAGCTTTCTGATACATGTATATAGGTAAGTTATTTTCTGTTCTTTTATTTTTGTGAAGAGTAATTTATAGATAAATGATTTGCTGCGGCTGTGTGTTGAGTGTTGTATATGTGTGTTTCTTGGTTGCGTTCTCAGCTGTATTTCTGTTTCCTGCCTACAGGTGATTTGAATGCTATTGCCCCCATCATATCTAATTTCTTCCTGATGTCCTATGCCCTCATCAACTATTCCTGTTTTGATGCCTCACTTGCCAGGTCACCAGGTAACCACCATATACTGACTTCACCTCTGAGTGTGTGGTGTGATTATATAATGGAACTTAGGGAGACAGGTGGAAATCACTTATATTCCATTTAATAGATATTTTTGCTCCATATCATGTCAAAAATAAAATGTAAGTGTAGGGATATGCAAATCAGAACGACAATTACAAACTTGTCATAGCACTGTATTTTTGTTTCTTTCCTGGAATAACATATGACATGTATATGTTCCTAAGTAGGTTTGTTGAAGCACTATAGTAAAATATTTTTAACAAAGTTAAATCATTTACAGTGACCTGCTGTTATAGAAAGTTTTTTGCACAACAGATGACATCTTATGTCAGATTTAAATTTGATTATAAATAACATGTCAAGGTAACATTACATGCAAGATTGTATTGTTATTCTTGCTCCAATGATCTGATATTTTTCGTATGTCAGAACTGAATGAATAGTTAATTGTTATTACGTTGTAACACATTATGAAGTCATGGATACATAGAGTCATGGGATTACAGGTTTAGGGTTAATTTTATCAATGACATATATTTAATGATGTTATAGATTTAGTTTGTCAATAAGACATATTTTAATGAAACTACAGGTAAATTTTGTCATTGGAACATAGCGTATGAGATTGCATGTAATTTCACTACTTAATTCAAAAAAGTTGCTTGTTTCCATCTTATTTATTTTATTGTGATTAAAAATATGTGAGCCAGGATGTATTTTATAAAATCACACAATTGCTTATGCTGTTGATTTTGATAGTTATTTATTATGTATGTTACAGGGTGGCGTCCAGCGTTCAAATACTACTACATGTGGTTGAGTCTCATTGGTGCCTTAGTGTGTATAGCTGTAATGTTTATTATCAACTGGTGGACAGCCTTGATAACATTTGCTGTGATAGCCTTTATCTTTGTATATGTACACTACACAAAACCAGGTAAGAAATACACACACTTTTTGTGCTAAAAACTTACTGAAAAATGTTGGGAAACGTTAACAAAAGGAAATCTTATTAATAGGGAGAAAGATAACGCATTAGATTGTTTTACTCTTAACAACATGGAGGCAAATCCACCACTTTAACTTTCTTAACGACTGTTGAACAGTATTTTAGGAACTCCCTTCCCTGATGTCTAGTATACTGGACAAGATTTTGAGTACTCCTTAATCTTCCAGTATACTGGACCCGTTTTCAGTATCCCTTCATTTCATGAAAGAAATTGTTTATTCAAAAACAAAATTGATAAAAATAATCAATAGATAAATAAAATGATTAATTAGAAAAATTAGTGTTATTAAATTATATTCAAATTAATCAATAAAGGATACCAGGTAAGCAACTAAACAATGTTGATTCTTGATTTCAGATGTGAATTGGGGCTCATCTACCCAGGCTCATGTGTATAGAAGTGCTCTCCAGTCGGCTCTCAAACTCCTGGCTGTGGAAGACCACATCAAAAACTTCCGGCCACAGATATTGGTGCTAACAGGCCTACCTTCCAGTCGCCCTGCCCTGGTGGACTTTGTGTATACCCTGACGAGGAAAATCAGTCTGATGATGTGTGGGCACATCCTCATCGTACGTGGACAGACATGTTAATTAGAGATACTGGGTGGTCGATGTCAGCTGGAATCTCAAACTTTATGTCAATCACGCAGTGATTTTAAAGAGTCTTTCATTACATTTTATGCCAGTTCATTTAATGTATATAATTGTGGTTCTTTGGTTTAAATAAAAAGAAAAATTCATTTGCAATTTGATAGGTCTAGATGCACGCCCTTAAGTGTCACTACTTGTGAACTTTGCATAAAATGTAAAAGGCTAAAAATGTTTTTTGTTTAAGTAATGAACCCATAGCATGATATTTAAAAGATATGTTTCACATTTTGGAATTATCATAGAAATACATTCACTTATATATGTTGTGAAGATATAGTCTTTCTCCCCTGATAGTTAATTACATATATGTATGTATAGAGACTGGATATAGTCTTTCTCCCCTGATAGTTAATTACATGTATGTAAAGAGACTGGATATAGTCTTTCTCCCCTGGTAGTTAATTACATGTATGTATGTATAGAGACTGGATATAGTCTTTCTCCCCTGGTAGTTAATTACATGTATGTATAGAGACTGGATATAGTCTTTCTCCCCTGATAGTTAATTACATGTATGTATAGAGACTGGATATAGTCTTTCTCCCCTGATAGTTAATTACATGTATGTATAGAGACTGGATATAGTCTTTCTCCCCTGATAGTTAATTACATGTATGTATAGAGACTGGATATAGTCTTTCTCCCCTGGTAGTTAATTACATGTATGTATAGAGACTGGATATAGTCTTTCTCCCCTGGTAGTTAATTACATGTATGTATAGAGACTGGATATAGTCTTTCTCCCCTGGTAGTTAATTACATGTATGTATAGAGACTGGATATAGTCTTTCTCCCCTGGTAGTTAATTACATGTATGTATAGAGACTGGATATAGTCTTTCTCCCCTGGTAGTTAATTACATGTATGTATAGAGACTGGATATAGTCTTTCTCCCCTGGTAGTTAATTACATGTATGTATAGAGACTGGATATAGTCTTTCTCCCCTGGTAGTTAATTACATGTATGTATAGAGACTGGATATAGTCTTTCTCCCCTGGTAGTTAATTACATGTATGTATAGAGACTGGATATAGTCTTTCTCCCCTGGTAGTTAATTACATGTATGTATAGAGACTGGATATAGTCTTTCTCCCCTGGTAGTTAATTACATGTATGTATAGAGACTGGATATAGTCTTTCTCCCCTGGTAGTTAATTACATGTATGTATAGAGACTGGATATAGTCTTTCTCCCCTGGTAGTTAATTACATGTATGTATAGAGACTGGATATAGTCTTTCTCCCCTGGTAGTTAATTACATGTATGTATAGAGACTGGATATAGTCTTTCTCCCCTGGTAGTTAATTACATGTATGTATAGAGACTGGATATAGTCTTTCTCCCCTGGTAGTTAATTACATGTATGTATAGAGACTGGATATAGTCTTTCTCCCCTGGTAGTTAATTACATGTATGTATAGAGACTGGATATAGTCTTTCTCCCCTGGTAGTTAATTACATGTATGTATAGAGACTGGATATAGTCTTTCTCCCCTGGTAGTTAATTACATGTATGTATAGAGACTGGATATAGTCTTTCTCCCCTGGTAGTTAATTACATGTATGTATAGAGACTGGATATAGTCTTTCTCCCCTGGTAGTTAATTACATGTATGTATAGAGACTGGATATAGTCTTTCTCCCCTGGTAGTTAATTACATGTATGTATAGAGACTGGATATAGTCTTTCTCCCCTGGTAGTTAATTACATGTATGTATAGAGACTGGATATAGTCTTTCTCCCCTGGTAGTTAATTACATGTATGTATAGAGACTGGATATAGTCTTTCTCCCCTGGTAGTTAATTACATGTATGTATAGAGACTGGATATAGTCTTTCTCCCCTGGTAGTTAATTACATGTATGTATAGAGACTGGATATAGTCTTTCTCCCCTGGTAGTTAATTACATGTATGTATAGAGACTGGATATAGTCTTTCTCCCCTGGTAGTTAATTACATGTATGTATAGAGACTGGATATAGTCTTTCTCCCCTGATAGTTAATTACATGTATGTTGGAGACTGGATATAGTCTTTCTCCTCTGATAGTTAATTACATGTATGTATAGAGACTGGAAGTTATATCTGTTGATGTGTTTGATGTTCAGGGGAACCAGAGTGATTGCCTACGAGAGATCAACAGGTATAAGTCTGGCACAGTCTACCAGTGGTTCAAACAACGGAAGGTCAAGTCCTTCTACAGCGTCACCTCAGCGACGTCCTTTAGGCAGGGTGCACAGAGTATTATGCAGGTAACAGTTGTCATAGAATGTATATAATAGATGGCACAGATAATTATGCAGGTAACAGTTGTCATAGAATGTATATAATGGATGACACAGAGAATTATGCAGGTAACAGTTGTCATAGAATGTATATAATAGATGACACAGAGAATTATGCAGGTAGTAGTGACCACATGGTACCATGTATATAGTTTCATGCTGGCTATAGAGGCCACCAAGGAGGTCGGGGTTTGATTCCCCGATCGCACGTGAAAAAGTATGGGGTCACCTGCCCGACCACGTGGGTTTTCTCTGGGTATTCCGGTTTCCTCCCACAATAAGACCCTGCGCATGCTAACATCCGGGCCAACAAAAGTGATTAAGTTTTGTGTACATAATCGTGGCGACAGGGTTACCATGTACATAATAGGTGGCATTAAGTTTCATTCATGCAGTAGTTAGCACAATGTGGGTAATAGAAGGTGCATAAAATGTATATGTATAAAAAAGCCACAGAGCACCATCCAGATTTTGACCCAGTGTCACAAACATATTCAAGTGGGTAGAGCTCGTAACTTTGAGGATGAAATTTTATAGTTTTAAAAGAAGCGCTTCAGTAAAAGTGATGTGGGAATGTTTTAAATGAATGTTTACTTCTCTGTATCATCTATAGTGTGAATGACTTGTTTTCAGAATGTTGGAGTAGGGAAAATGAGACCTAATATTGTAGTGATGGGCTTCAAGTCTGACTGGCGAACCACCCACTATGAGGAAGTGGACGGCTACTTCAATACCATACAGTCAGTATCTATTAATCTATCAATCCTATTGGTTGTGTAAAAAGAACTTTTCATAATCCATACTTACCAACCTGAAGAAAATGTTTAGAAACAGTCAGTATTTGTTACTGGACACTCTTAGCTATGCAGTCTGACTTTGTAGACATACGAATGTTTCAGAATCTGGCTTAGGTTTTACAGAAGATCTTCACAGATATTTTTTCATTGTCTTGTAGGTAAAGGATTGCATTATATGTTGTGAAAAAATCTAAACCTAGGTTAGGAATGTTTGTGAAACTAGCTGCAATCTGAGTATCCAATCTATCAAACAGCTTTTGTCTGGTAAAGATGTTATCTTTTTTGAAGACTTTTTAATATTCTTTTCTATATTAAATCTTGCTTAGTTTGTCCTCATTTGTATGTGTAAACCAGGGATGTAATAAACATGTTTATCATCTATATACTGCTTTATACCACCTACCAGTACTGTGATAAATTCATTATCGTGGGTTGTCAGCTTGCACCAGGTGATGTCCTGAACCAGGAATAGTATCCACACAAACATGATCCGAAAATAGTCTGTTATAAATAAATTATTATAAAGTTTTCAAAAAATAATGTGAGATAAAGAAAAAAAATAAGCGATATTGTGCATATGGTCAATGCCAATGATGATAATATGGTTTTAAAAATATCTTTTTACATAGTTTGAAGGTTCATGGTATTCCTCTGCAAAAATCTTCAATTTGTTTGTCACTGACCGAGGATCTAGATGATCATTGAGCCTAGAAGTAATTTGGAAGGACAGTGTTTAGTTGATTGTTTTTAATGGAGAAATATATAAGGAAGTAGTATATAGATGATAAACAGTTTATCACACAATATTTTCAGGGTTGGTCGTTTACACAATTTTCTCATCACTCGCACATGGATAAAATCTTGAATCCCTCTGTGGTGACCTCGCCATTTTATCCATGTGCTTGCAATGAGAAAATTGATCTTGCGACAAGTCCTGAAAGCACGTGTGATAATCTATAAATATCAATGTTTGTTCAAAGAGAGGTTCCTTGATGAGTGACATTTGGTAGCACTCCACCTGTGAATTTTAAAAAGTTGCTGAAGATCTGCACTTCAGCAAGGGTCCTTTTATGTTATGCTATTAACTAACAAGAGCGAGATAAATACATTCACCAACATTGAGAGTCCAGGAATCTTTTTTTTATCCTGGAACTTTTTGGCTCACCTGGTCCATAAGACCAAGGTAAGCTTATGCCTTACATTTGCATCCACTGTACGTCCATACATTGCTTGTATGTCATCCATCCATCCATCCAATCCTCAACGATTTATTCAAACAAATTCTTCTTATCAACTGCTGAATGTAATTTCACCAAATAGAAGGCCTGACCTGCCTACAGGGCTGTGGGGCAGAGCAAAAAAAGGTTATTTGGCCATATTGTTTTCAGTGACTTTTTCTCTGAAACTATGAGATGGATATCAACTGTATTTTGTTCGATACATCCTTGGGTGGTGGGGATTCAAACTTGTACAAATGGAGGGGCTGACATCCCATCCCCTGGGCAGAGGAGTGGGGCCAAAATGTTGTCTTTGAAGTGGTTAAGAGCCTTACCCTATAACGATATATGCAATTGCTGGACTGGATGAGACAAAGATGAAGTCAGAATTAAAATTTGGGTTTGACCCGACCGCTTGGGACTTAGTCCCTGGGTCATAACATGGAAATGTTTGAGATCCCATCACTATAACAACATATACAGCAGCTGGACATGAAGAGGGGAAAACACTGGACTTATACACTCATGATTCGTCCCAGGGGATTTCATCCTTTATGCATAGTTAGAAATGTGTTAAATCCCCACCCTTTTACCATATATGTGTGTTCGCTGAGCCATGATACAGGTTCTCTGAGCCTCTTGTTCCTAAAAGCAGTTGTTTTATCCATGAGCCGCCATTAATTATACCTTTTCAGTCGATAGTAATACAATCCTATAAGTTTAATTAATGCAGTAAAAATAATTCTGTTTCACGATAAATCCATTTTTATTTCAACTATGAAAATTAAACAAATATTATTAGAGTTCACTGCGAGGCACATATTTCATGCTTTTAGTCACTTGTGTTGGTAGTGTGCTTTGTGGTGCCAAACAAATCAATCAGAGAAACAACAGATAGGTATCACTATTGTTGTCAGCTGTGTGCTATATCTCCACTACTGAATCATTGTTCGAGTCCAAAACCATTAGATGCTTGCATGCTTGGGATGGATAAGTACAGACTTCTGTGATTATGAAGCTCCCTCTGGAGATTTGGCAATATAATTCTCCATGTTGGCATGGTAATAGTTAATACTCATGCATGTTATCATGCAGCAGTATAGAAACATTAATATTGTAAATCAAATTAAAATAGATGCTGTTATTTCTGTCTCATTTTAGTCATTTCATCACAGTGGTAGGATTCCAAAACATACTGGTATTACATGCATTCTTTATTTTTCTACCATTACCTGGTAATAATTTCACTAGACCTTTATCACCAACCATTTATGTCATATTGTCTATCATCAGTTTCATTCCATTCCATTTATGTATACTTGTGGAAAAAATAAACACAGTCCCTATTCATTGTTTTTTTAACATTCTAATTGTTGTTTCACGAGGAAATCACATCACCATCACAGATGAAGAAACCACACTCTGATTCACATTGTTGTGATTCCATGCATTCACATTTTAAATTTCCAGATATTTTTTTATCATTTTCTCTGATTAAAATTTTTAACTCCACATCTGCCAACTAAGGATTCAGACTGTTGTATCAGTAATTGAATCTAAAACAGATTGTGTTTTGTGCCACAGATTAAAGTATGGTTTATTATTCAATAAGTTAAGGAAACCAGTGTAAACAGAAAATATACTTTTCACAGATAATTTTGTTTTTTAATAAGAAAATATTTTGTAAGTATATTTTTACCTCTCTGCGACATATTTACTATGGGAAAATAAACCATTGCAAAATATTGATGCAGATTACACTTAAACAAAAGTATTAGCTGTGGTCACTTATTTCAACAAAGACATAAATTAAATTTCAAACTATATGAAAATGATGAGATTTAATTTATCTTGACCTTTAATATATTATATTTGACCTTGACATTGTAGTGATGCCTTTGACCTGGAGTTTGGTGTTGGTATCCTGAGAGTGACAGAAGGGTTCTATTGTGAGACGAATCAGAACGAGGCTGGCCATGAATCTCTGGTCCAACACAAGCTTGATGGTAAGTTTATTAATCGATACATCTTGTTGACTAATACATGTATATGAACTTTACATAATGATATCTTTTCTCTGAACTTTTGTCGTAAATAGTGAACTATATAGCATGGGAACGTTTTTCTCAGTGTTTTAACTGCCATGTTTTGGTCCTACAGCCTCTCCTCAACTTACACATAGCAACTGTTGTGGACCACCCGTGACCTCAACAAGTATGCGGACCATGTAAACTGTTTGTGCATGACTAGCTGGGTGTTGTGTTATACATGTGTATTGTCTGTTGTCTCTTATTCGTGTTTTCAGTTTGTTTCAATAATTTGATTTATTTGTTAATATTTCTTTTCTTTGTTTCTTTGTGAAATTGTAGATTTTTTTTGTGATTTTTCCAATTTCATTAGCAGCAAATTGTTAAAACTAGAATTATATGACAGAGTACCAAGGGACTATCAAATACATTTCAATGTCATGTTTGTTGATGGTTTTCAATAAAGACATCCTTGTGTCGAGACATCATAGAGAAAATTCTAGGTGTTTGATATGCCATTGGTTATTGGTCAATTGTCAAGATCCAAGCAATGAAAACAGAAAAAATACCAAGTATATATTACTTAACGATATACAACAGCACAGAGAGATTTGATTTATCATTTAATCAGTAACAAATTTAACATTTGGTCAATATCATATACAAAAGTCTGATAGAAAGTATAGCAATATCATCTTGCATTAATTCAAGACTTGATATAAGATTTTGTACACACATCATTTAACTTGTCTGGATATTCTGATAAAAGTAATGGAAAAGGTGATGAATATTGAGCTTAGAGAGAGTAGTTATAAGATCTTTAAGAAAACTTGTTTTTCAATATTTTTTGATCTGAATATTCCATTAGATAGAAGCAATATCTGTGTTCTATGTGATTAGAAGTGTGTTTGTACCAAGAAGGATACTGTATAGAAGTGTGTATTTAGTGTGATGTTAACTCCAACTACTAATAAGATCACTAGTGTTTTATGTGATAGAAGTTCACCTGTTTAGTGTATAATTGGATGTGTATTCTGCTGATCAGTATTGATTACAGACCTTGTGTTGTTACAGCCGATGAGGAGGAAATCCATTCATACCCCAGTACCCCCACCATGCTGCGGAAACACAGCCATTCCTCCGAGGGCTCCTTTCCTGATCACAATGGAGAAATGCCACAGAGGGATGACAGTCACCAACTGTTGATGTCTGAGAACCGCCTCAGACAGCAGAATAGGTTTGCCAAAAAGCAGAAGAAGGGAACAATAGACGTCTGGTGGCTGTTTGATGACGGAGGTTAGAACTGGTGACTTAATCAAGGATCTTTTAAGGTCTATGTACAATGCTATTTCGGCAGGGATCTATCTACTTTTGTGTACAATGCTGCTTTTAGCCCACCATCATCAGATGGTCGGCTGTTCAAATAACCCATCTTCTGTTGTCCCTCATCCATCTGTCAGTCAAAGTGATAAAAAAATAAAAGATAGCTGCCAGGCAGCCATTTGGAATTTCAACAGGTCAAGTTTTTCATCCCAATTTCTTTTGAATAAAAATTAATAATCTAACTGGTCACTGGTTTTAGGAAAAAATAACGCTGGCAGAAAAAAGAAATCTCTCATTTTCAATATTTTACTCATAACTAATCATAGTAAATATGTCAGATGACTTGTTTTGTCACAAGATGTGTTTACTGTTGACAAGACTATCAATCCAAACAGATGGGAGAAAAGATCAAACTTACATAGAATTCATAAAAAATCTGTGATTTCTTATTCCATAGAATCTTATTTTTTATTTTTCAAAAAATAGTTTGAAAAGGAACCCTGCTGGAACACTTCTTCTTTTCTAAGATTCTTGTTTGGACAAAGCTAACAAGGCCAACTTACCATCTATCACCGAGATGTATGACCTTGAACTTTGACTGCATGTGACTTGTCATTTCAGGTTTGACCTTGTTGATCCCTTATATCCTCACAACAAAGCTGTACTGGGGCAACTGTCGACTGAGGATCTTTATTGCTGGTACAAAGAGAGGCGAGATTGACAGAGAACAGAGGCAGTAAGTGTCCACAAGTCCTGTCTATTACAGTAGCTCAACATTACAATGTGTTAATAACTGGGTATATAGCTCAACATTACAATGTGTTAATACCTGGGTATATAGCTCAACATTACAATGTGTTAATAACTGGGTATATATCTCAACATTACAATGTGTTAATAACTGGGTATATAGCTCAACATTACAATGTATTAATAACTGCGTATTTATCTCAACATTACAATGTATTAATAACTGGGTATATAGCTCAACATTACAATGTGTTATTAACTGGGTATATAGCTCAACATTACAATGTGTTAATAACTGGGTATATAGCTCAACATTACAATGTGTTAATAACTGGGTATATATCTCACAAATGTGTTAATAACTGGGTATATAGCTCAACATTACAATATGTTAATAACTGGGTATATATCTCACAAATGTGTTGATAACTGGGTATATAGCTCAACATTACAATATGTTAAAAACTGGGTATACAGCTCAACATTACAATATGTTAATCACTGGGTATATAGGTCAACATTACAATGTGTTAATAACTGGGTATATAGCTCAACATTACAATATGTTAATAACTGGGTATATATCTCAAAAATGTGTTAATAACTGGGTATATAGCTCAACATTACAATATGTTAATAACTGGGTATATAGCTCAACATTACAATATGTTAATCACTGGGTATATAGCTCAACATTACAATATGTTAATCACTGGGTATATAGCTCAACATTACAATATGTTAATAACTGGGTATATAGCTCAACATTACAATGTGTTAATCACTGGATATATAGCTCAAGATAGCTAAATATTTCAATGTATTAATAACTCGGCATAAACCCATGAAAAGAAATAGGGAAAATGATTTGAATGTGTGGGTGTACACTCTGAGGAAAAAGTACACTTCTAAAATGGCATCTTTGGAGCTGTTGTTTCAGTTACTTAAAATTGCCAAATTGAGTACGGGTATATCTTGGAATGTAAGATGGTTGCAAACCACATCATTAACAGAAGTATGGCCCTTTGTTCACCATCACTATCCAGACTACATCTCGTACATATCCTTTACGTTTGCTAGATTTTACATGGGATTACCTGTTAGGATGACGAGTGTTGCAACCTAAAATCTCTTATTCCCTACTCTATACAGAGTTATTTCCCTTTGTTCACCATCACTATCCAGGCTACATCTCATACATATCCTTTACGTTTGCCAGATTTTACATGGGATTACCTGTTAGGATGACGAGTGTTGCAACCTAAAATCTCTTATTCCCAACTCTATACAGAGTTATTTCCCTTTGTTCACCATCACTATCCAGGCTACATCTCATACATATCCTTTACGTTTGCCAGATTTTACATGGGATTACCTGTTAGGATGACGAGTGTTGCAACCTAAAATCTCTTATTCCCAACTCTATACAGAGTTATTTCCCTTTGTTCACCATCACTATCCAGGCTACATCTCATACATATCCTTTACGTTTGCCAGATTTTACATGGGATTACCTGTTAGGATGACGAGTGTTGCAACCTAAAATCTCTTATTCCCAACTCTATACAGAGTTATTTCCCTTTGTTCACCATCACTATCCAGGCTACATCTCATACATATCCTTTACGTTTGCCAGATTTTACATGGGATTACCTGTTAGGATGACGAGTGTTGCAACCTAAAATCTCTTATTCCCAACTCTATACAGAGTTATTTCCCTTTGTTCACCATCACTATCCAGGCTACATCTCATACATATCCTTTACGTTTGCCAGATTTTACATGGGATTACCTGTTAGGATGACGAGTGTTGCAACCTAAAATCTCTTATTCCCAACTCTATACAGAGTTATTTCCCTTTGTTCACCATCACTATCCAGGCTACATCTCATACATATCCTTTACGTTTGCCAGATTTTACATGGGATTACCTGTTAGGATGACGAGTGTTGCAACCTAAAATCTCTTATTCCCAACTCTATACAGAGTTATTTCCCTTTGTTCACCATCACTATCCAGGCTACATCTCATACATATCCTTTACGTTTGCCAGATTTTACATGGGATTACCTGTTAGGATGACGAGTGTTGCAACCTAAAATCTCTTATTCCCAACTCTATACAGAGTTATTTCCCTTTGTTCACCATCACTATCCAGGCTACATCTCATACATATCCTTTACGTTTGCCAGATTTTACATGGGATTACCTGTTAGGATGACGAGTGTTGCAACCTAAAATCTCTTATTCCCAACTCTATACAGAGTTATTTCCCTTTGTTCACCATCACTATCCAGGCTACATCTCATACATATCCTTTACGTTTGCCAGATTTTACATGGGATTACCTGTTAGGATGACGAGTGTTGCAACCTAAAATCTCTTATTCCCAACTCTATACAGAGTTATTTCCCTTTGTTCACCATCACTATCCAGGCTACATCTCATACATATCCTTTACGTTTGCCAGATTTTACATGGGATTACCTGTTAGGATGACGAGTGTTGCAACCTAAAATCTCTTATTCCCAACTCTATACAGAGTTATTTCCCTTTGTTCACCATCACTATCCAGGCTACATCTCATACATATCCTTTACGTTTGCCAGATTTTACATGGGATTACCTGTTAGGATGACGAGTGTTGCAACCTAAAATCTCTTATTCCCAACTCTATACAGAGTTATTTCCCTTTGTTCACCATCACTATCCAGGCTACATCTCATACATATCCTTTACGTTTGCCAGATTTTACATGGGATTACCTGTTAGGATGACGAGTGTTGCAACCTAAAATCTCTTATTCCCAACTCTATACAGAGTTATTTCCCTTTGTTCACCATCACTATCCAGGCTACATCTCATACATATCCTTTACGTTTGCCAGATTTTACATGGGATTACCTGTTAGGATGACGAGTGTTGCAACCTAAAATCTCTTATTCCCAACTCTATACAGAGTTATTTCCCTTTGTTCACCATCACTATCCAGGCTACATCTCATACATATCCTTTACGTTTGCCAGATTTTACATGGGATTACCTGTTAGGATGACGAGTGTTGCAACCTAAAATCTCTTATTCCCAACTCTATACAGAGTTATTTCCCTTTGTTCACCATCACTATCCAGGCTACATCTCATACATATCCTTTACGTTTGCCAGATTTTACATGGGATTACCTGTTAGGATGACGAGTGTTGCAACCTAAAATCTCTTATTCCCAACTCTATACAGAGTTATTTCCCTTTGTTCACCATCACTATCCAGGCTACATCTCATACATATCCTTTACGTTTGCCAGATTTTACATGGGATTACCTGTTAGGATGACGAGTGTTGCAACCTAAAATCTCTTATTCCCAACTCTATACAGAGTTATTTCCCTTTGTTCACCATCACTATCCAGGCTACATCTCATACATATCCTTTACGTTTGCCAGATTTTACATGGGATTACCTGTTAGGATGACGAGTGTTGCAACCTAAAATCTCTTATTCCCAACTCTATACAGAGTTATTTCCCTTTGTTCACCATCACTATCCAGGCTACATCTCATACATATCCTTTACGTTTGCCAGATTTTACATGGGATTACCTGTTAGGATGACGAGTGTTGCAACCTAAAATCTCTTATTCCCAACTCTATACAGAGTTATTTCCCTTTGTTCACCATCACTATCCAGGCTACATCTCATACATATCCTTTACGTTTGCCAGATTTTACATGGGATTACCTGTTAGGATGACGAGTGTTGCAACCTAAAATCTCTTATTCCCAACTCTATACAGAGTTATTTCCCTTTGTTCACCATCACTATCCAGGCTACATCTCATACATATCCTTTACGTTTGCCAGATTTTACATGGGATTACCTGTTAGGATGACGAGTGTTGCAACCTAAAATCTCTTATTCCCAACTCTATACAGAGTTATTTCCCTTTGTTCACCATCACTATCCAGGCTACATCTCATACATATCCTTTACGTTTGCCAGATTTTACATGGGATTACCTGTTAGGATGACGAGTGTTGCAACCTAAAATCTCTTATTCCCAACTCTATACAGAGTTATTTCCCTTTGTTCACCATCACTATCCAGGCTACATCTCATACATATCCTTTACGTTTGCCAGATTTTACATGGGATTACCTGTTAGGATGACGAGTGTTGCAACCTAAAATCTCTTATTCCCAACTCTATACAGAGTTATTTCCCTTTGTTCACCATCACTATCCAGGCTACATCTCATACATATCCTTTACGTTTGCCAGATTTTACATGGGATTACCTGTTAGGATGACGAGTGTTGCAACCTAAAATCTCTTATTCCCAACTCTATACAGAGTTATTTCCCTTTGTTCACCATCACTATCCAGGCTACATCTCATACATATCCTTTACGTTTGCCAGATTTTACATGGGATTACCTGTTAGGATGACGAGTGTTGCAACCTAAAATCTCTTATTCCCAACTCTATACAGAGTTATTTCCCTTTGTTCACCATCACTATCCAGGCTACATCTCATACATATCCTTTACGTTTGCCAGATTTTACATGGGATTACCTGTTAGGATGACGAGTGTTGCAACCTAAAATCTCTTATTCCCAACTCTATACAGAGTTATTTCCCTTTGTTCACCATCACTATCCAGGCTACATCTCATACATATCCTTTACGTTTGCCAGATTTTACATGGGATTACCTGTTAGGATGACGAGTGTTGCAACCTAAAATCTCTTATTCCCAACTCTATACAGAGTTATTTCCCTTTGTTCACCATCACTATCCAGGCTACATCTCATACATATCCTTTACGTTTGCCAGATTTTACATGGGATTACCTGTTAGGATGACGAGTGTTGCAACCTAAAATCTCTTATTCCCAACTCTATACAGAGTTATTTCCCTTTGTTCACCATCACTATCCAGGCTACATCTCATACATATCCTTTACGTTTGCCAGATTTTACATGGGATTACCTGTTAGGATGACGAGTGTTGCAACCTAAAATCTCTTATTCCCAACTCTATACAGAGTTATTTCCCTTTGTTCACCATCACTATCCAGGCTACATCTCATACATATCCTTTACGTTTGCCAGATTTTACATGGGATTACCTGTTAGGATGACGAGTGTTGCAACCTAAAATCTCTTATTCCCAACTCTATACAGAGTTATTTCCCTTTGTTCACCATCACTATCCAGGCTACATCTCATACATATCCTTTACGTTTGCCAGATTTTACATGGGATTACCTGTTAGGATGACGAGTGTTGCAACCTAAAATCTCTTATTCCCAACTCTATACAGAGTTATTTCCCTTTGTTCACCATCACTATCCAGGCTACATCTCATACATATCCTTTACGTTTGCCAGATTTTACATGGGATTACCTGTTAGGATGACGAGTGTTGCAACCTAAAATCTCTTATTCCCAACTCTATACAGAGTTATTTCCCTTTGTTCACCATCACTATCCAGGCTACATCTCATACATATCCTTTACGTTTGCCAGATTTTACATGGGATTACCTGTTAGGATGACGAGTGTTGCAACCTAAAATCTCTTATTCCCAACTCTATACAGAGTTATTTCCCTTTGTTCACCATCACTATCCAGGCTACATCTCATACATATCCTTTACGTTTGCCAGATTTTACATGGGATTACCTGTTAGGATGACGAGTGTTGCAACCTAAAATCTCTTATTCCCAACTCTATACAGAGTTATTTCCCTTTGTTCACCATCACTATCCAGGCTACATCTCATACATATCCTTTACGTTTGCCAGATTTTACATGGGATTACCTGTTAGGATGACGAGTGTTGCAACCTAAAATCTCTTATTCCCAACTCTATACAGAGTTATTTCCCTTTGTTCACCATCACTATCCAGGCTACATCTCATACATATCCTTTACGTTTGCCAGATTTTACATGGGATTACCTGTTAGGATGACGAGTGTTGCAACCTAAAATCTCTTATTCCCAACTCTATACAGAGTTATTTCCCTTTGTTCACCATCACTATCCAGGCTACATCTCATACATATCCTTTACGTTTGCCAGATTTTACATGGGATTACCTGTTAGGATGACGAGTGTTGCAACCTAAAATCTCTTATTCCCAACTCTATACAGAGTTATTTCCCTTTGTTCACCATCACTATCCAGGCTACATCTCATACATATCCTTTACGTTTGCCAGATTTTACATGGGATTACCTGTTAGGATGACGAGTGTTGCAACCTAAAATCTCTTATTCCCAACTCTATACAGAGTTATTTCCCTTTGTTCACCATCACTATCCAGGCTACATCTCATACATATCCTTTACGTTTGCCAGATTTTACATGGGATTACCTGTTAGGATGACGAGTGTTGCAACCTAAAATCTCTTATTCCCAACTCTATACAGAGTTATTTCCCTTTGTTCACCATCACTATCCAGGCTACATCTCATACATATCCTTTACGTTTGCCAGATTTTACATGGGATTACCTGTTAGGATGACGAGTGTTGCAACCTAAAATCTCTTATTCCCAACTCTATACAGAGTTATTTCCCTTTGTTCACCATCACTATCCAGGCTACATCTCATACATATCCTTTACGTTTGCCAGATTTTACATGGGATTACCTGTTAGGATGACGAGTGTTGCAACCTAAAATCTCTTATTCCCAACTCTATACAGAGTTATTTCCCTTTGTTCACCATCACTATCCAGGCTACATCTCATACATATCCTTTACGTTTGCCAGATTTTACATGGGATTACCTGTTAGGATGACGAGTGTTGCAACCTAAAATCTCTTATTCCCAACTCTATACAGAGTTATTTCCCTTTGTTCACCATCACTATCCAGGCTACATCTCATACATATCCTTTACGTTTGCCAGATTTTACATGGGATTACCTGTTAGGATGACGAGTGTTGCAACCTAAAATCTCTTATTCCCAACTCTATACAGAGTTATTTCCCTTTGTTCACCATCACTATCCAGGCTACATCTCATACATATCCTTTACGTTTGCCAGATTTTACATGGGATTACCTGTTAGGATGACGAGTGTTGCAACCTAAAATCTCTTATTCCCAACTCTATACAGAGTTATTTCCCTTTGTTCACCATCACTATCCAGGCTACATCTCATACATATCCTTTACGTTTGCCAGATTTTACATGGGATTACCTGTTAGGATGACGAGTGTTGCAACCTAAAATCTCTTATTCCCAACTCTATACAGAGTTATTTCCCTTTGTTCACCATCACTATCCAGGCTACATCTCATACATATCCTTTACGTTTGCCAGATTTTACATGGGATTACCTGTTAGGATGACGAGTGTTGCAACCTAAAATCTCTTATTCCCAACTCTATACAGAGTTATTTCCCTTTGTTCACCATCACTATCCAGGCTACATCTCATACATATCCTTTACGTTTGCCAGATTTTACATGGGATTACCTGTTAGGATGACGAGTGTTGCAACCTAAAATCTCTTATTCCCAACTCTATACAGAGTTATTTCCCTTTGTTCACCATCACTATCCAGGCTACATCTCATACATATCCTTTACGTTTGCCAGATTTTACATGGGATTACCTGTTAGGATGACGAGTGTTGCAACCTAAAATCTCTTATTCCCAACTCTATACAGAGTTATTTCCCTTTGTTCACCATCACTATCCAGGCTACATCTCATACATATCCTTTACGTTTGCCAGATTTTACATGGGATTACCTGTTAGGATGACGAGTGTTGCAACCTAAAATCTCTTATTCCCAACTCTATACAGAGTTATTTCCCTTTGTTCACCATCACTATCCAGGCTACATCTCATACATATCCTTTACGTTTGCCAGATTTTACATGGGATTACCTGTTAGGATGACGAGTGTTGCAACCTAAAATCTCTTATTCCCAACTCTATACAGAGTTATTTCCCTTTGTTCACCATCACTATCCAGGCTACATCTCATACATATCCTTTACGTTTGCCAGATTTTACATGGGATTACCTGTTAGGATGACGAGTGTTGCAACCTAAAATCTCTTATTCCCAACTCTATACAGAGTTATTTCCCTTTGTTCACCATCACTATCCAGGCTACATCTCATACATATCCTTTACGTTTGCCAGATTTTACATGGGATTACCTGTTAGGATGACGAGTGTTGCAACCTAAAATCTCTTATTCCCAACTCTATACAGAGTTATTTCCCTTTGTTCACCATCACTATCCAGGCTACATCTCATACATATCCTTTACGTTTGCCAGATTTTACATGGGATTACCTGTTAGGATGACGAGTGTTGCAACCTAAAATCTCTTATTCCCAACTCTATACAGAGTTATTTCCCTTTGTTCACCATCACTATCCAGGCTACATCTCATACATATCCTTTACGTTTGCCAGATTTTACATGGGATTACCTGTTAGGATGACGAGTGTTGCAACCTAAAATCTCTTATTCCCAACTCTATACAGAGTTATTTCCCTTTGTTCACCATCACTATCCAGGCTACATCTCATACATATCCTTTACGTTTGCCAGATTTTACATGGGATTACCTGTTAGGATGACGAGTGTTGCAACCTAAAATCTCTTATTCCCAACTCTATACAGAGTTATTTCCCTTTGTTCACCATCACTATCCAGGCTACATCTCATACATATCCTTTACGTTTGCCAGATTTTACATGGGATTACCTGTTAGGATGACGAGTGTTGCAACCTAAAATCTCTTATTCCCAACTCTATACAGAGTTATTTCCCTTTGTTCACCATCACTATCCAGGCTACATCTCATACATATCCTTTACGTTTGCCAGATTTTACATGGGATTACCTGTTAGGATGACGAGTGTTGCAACCTAAAATCTCTTATTCCCAACTCTATACAGAGTTATTTCCCTTTGTTCACCATCACTATCCAGGCTACATCTCATACATATCCTTTACGTTTGCCAGATTTTACATGGGATTACCTGTTAGGATGACGAGTGTTGCAACCTAAAATCTCTTATTCCCAACTCTATACAGAGTTATTTCCCTTTGTTCACCATCACTATCCAGGCTACATCTCATACATATCCTTTACGTTTGCCAGATTTTACATGGGATTACCTGTTAGGATGACGAGTGTTGCAACCTAAAATCTCTTATTCCCAACTCTATACAGAGTTATTTCCCTTTGTTCACCATCACTATCCAGGCTACATCTCATACATATCCTTTACGTTTGCCAGATTTTACATGGGATTACCTGTTAGGATGACGAGTGTTGCAACCTAAAATCTCTTATTCCCAACTCTATACAGAGTTATTTCCCTTTGTTCACCATCACTATCCAGGCTACATCTCATACATATCCTTTACGTTTGCCAGATTTTACATGGGATTACCTGTTAGGATGACGAGTGTTGCAACCTAAAATCTCTTATTCCCAACTCTATACAGAGTTATTTCCCTTTGTTCACCATCACTATCCAGGCTACATCTCATACATATCCTTTACGTTTGCCAGATTTTACATGGGATTACCTGTTAGGATGACGAGTGTTGCAACCTAAAATCTCTTATTCCCAACTCNTATTTTATACTTAAGTTTATCCATAGAGGTGAGTGACTATGTTTTTTTTTGTCATGCTGCAAATGTTTCATTCCTAGATAAAAGTTAAGCGATTGAAGGTATTTTTCTCTACAAATTCTATTTTCAGGATGGCCACGTTACTGAGCAAGTTCCGTATTGAGTGTAAAGAAATCACAGTTATAGCTGACATCGGCAAATCTCCAGAGAAAAAGAGGTGAGCAGCAAAATTTTGCTAAAACAAAGAAATCTTATTGTGTCAGTGATGCTGAGAGTGAAAGAAAAACTAATTAAAACCAAATATTTGACCATATCAATTGGTGGGCAGAAAAACATCAACACTTGTCAGATTTTACAAGGCCAGAGTGTGAAACTTTGTCGGCAGCATAATAGCAATCGACAATAAATAAATAAAACTGAGATGATCGTGATGATGATTTGATAATAATGTTGTAAAAAAAAATACTAAATCACACAATATACAAGTTTACACATTTCAATCAATTAAATTTGTCTGTGTGTGTTATAGTGAGGTGGAGTTTGACAAGTTGTTGGAGGGATGGATGTTAGATGAGGAGAGTGGAGAAAGCCAGGAAAAATATCCATGGAAAATATCAGAGGAGGAAAAAGACTTGCTCCAGGATAAGGTAAGTTTTGATATCTGGTTACTTTTCATAGTGGGAGTAAAAATCTTGCAGAACACTGGACCAAAACTACTGAACAATTGAACATTATTAGCTCACCTGGCACGAAGTGCCAAGTGAGCTTATGCCGTGGCGCGGCGTCCGTCGTCCGTCCTCGTCCGTCCTCGTCCGTCAACTTTTCCTTTAAACAACTTCTTCTGAAGAACGGACAGGCCTAGAGTCATGATATTTGGCTGAAAGCTTCGTTGGTAGGAGCCCTACAAAGTTTGAGAACGAAAATGACCTTGACCTGTTTTCAAGGTCACAGGGGTCAAATATGTCAAAAACTTCAAACGACTTCTTCTGAAGAATTAAAAGGTATAGAATCTTCATATTTGGCTGATGGCTTCCTTGGATGGAGCCCAACAAAGTTTGAGAATGAAAATTACCTTGACCTTCTTTCAAGGTCACAGGGGTCAAATGTGTCAAACACTTCAAACGACTTCTTCTGAAGAACTGAAAGGTATATAATCTTTATATTTGGCTGGTGGCTTCCTGGGATAGAGCCCAACAAAGTTTGAGAATGAAAACTAGTTTGACCTACTTTCAAGGTCACAGGGGTCATATATGTCAAAAGCTTCAAATGACTTCTTCTGAAGAACTGAAAGGTATAGAATCTTTATTTTTGATTGATGGCTTCCTTGGATAGAGCCCGACAAAGTTTGAGAATGAAAATGACCTTGACCTTCTTTCAAGGTCACAGGAGTCAAATGTGTCAGACACTTCAAACGACTTCTTCTGAAGAACTGAAAGGTATATAATCTCTATATTTGGCTTGTAGCTTCCTAGGAAAGAGCCGAACAAAGTTTGAGAATGAAAATGACCTTGACCTTCTTTTAAGGTCACATGAGGCAGATATGTCAAACACTTTAAACGACTTCTTCTGAAGAACTGGTAGTTATAAAATCTTAATATTTGGCAGGTGGCTTCCTGGGAAAGAGCCAAACAAAGTTTGCGAATGAAAATGACCTTGACCTACTTTCAAGGTCACAGCGTTCAAATATGTCAAACAGTTCAAACAGCTTCTTCTGAAGAATTAAAAGGCATAAAATTATAATATTTGGCTGGTGACTTCCCGGGATAGAGCTCACCAAAGTTTGCAAATGAAAATGACCTCAACCTACTTTAGAGGTCACAGAGGTCAACAACATTTTAATGGATTTGTTCTTGAGAACTAAAAGGAATGGATTCATAAGATTTGGCTGGTAGCTTTTTGGAATAGAGCTAACCAATTTGAGAAGGAAAATGACATTGACCTACTTACAAGATCACAGGGAAAAATATGTCAGCAACTTCTGAAGAAGAATCAAAAAGCATAGAATCTTATAATAATATTTTGCTGGTAGTTTCAACAGATGGAGCCAACAAAGTTTGCGAGGGAAATATTTTTAGTGCAATATAATATTTAATGAGAGTATTTTGCTATGACTGCTTAAATATTCAGGTGAGCGATACAGGCCCTCTTGGGCCTCTTGTTTTATGAAACATCATCAGTTATTGAAAGGCTTTTGTTTTTTGCTCATCAGTCAGTACTGCTATTAGGAAGTCGAATACCCTGGCCAAGTTCAAGAGGGACATAAAAACTCACCTCTTCACGTCTGCATTTTAGAATCTTTGCAAAGACGTCGTGTAAATACCACCCTTTTATTTGTTCAATTGTGTGCACATTGCTTGTTAAATGTATGAAAGTGATTGCAAGCCTTTGTTGTTTGTTTTCACAATTATAACCATTACTATTATCCATATGTTGTAAAGTGCCTTAGAGTAATTTTACAAATTATATAGGGCGCTATATAAATGCTGTATATTATCATTATTACTGTAAAGATCAAGTCAAACAAGGGCTCGGATCATTCTATTCCTAACATGGCCAATCATTTCTGTATGGCTGATGATACATGTAATTCCATGTTTTCCCAGTGCTATGTTTACCCTTTACACTTGACAAAATATTATGTTAAAGCACGGTATATTCATACTCCAACAGTGTTAGAGGTTTACACGGCGAGATACTTCTGTCGCAGTCGGCAAAATCATATCCGATAGAAAAAAGGCCTCTTATGTTATTTTCATTGTCATGTGAAGGCGCGACCTCACTACAAAATGAATATGGAAAAAAAATAAACTGCATTTCCCAGTATACGTATATATAGAACTCATAAGCCTATTGGTGAAATGTTAGTACAAGAAATAACCATAACATCTTTGATACATTCCCAATTTGTGTATTTATTTTCAGACGAAGCGAAACATTCGACTGAAGGAGCTCCTAGTGAAGCATTCCAGTGACGCATCATTGGTTGTCATGTATGTTTTTATTTTTTTAAACTTTCATAGTGTTCAAAGTCTGTGGGTGAATGCCAATATTCGATATCTCCCTAGCTTTCACAAGAATCAATAGACTCATGTGTCTTGGGAGTATTAAATTTATCCATTTATCAAATGCAAAAAAACAAAATTCGTTTTTTGCTACCTTCACTTTTAATTATTAGTGTAGTTAAATATTTATAATGGCACAAAAAGCTTAATGAAATAGCAATGTATTTGTATAGCATCATAAAGAATGTCATCTATATGATTTGTAAATAAACCCTCACTACAACTACTTTTATCTGTGTTTACAGGACCCTGCCTATGCCAAGAAAGGGCACCTGTCCGACAGGTCTGTACATGGCCTGGTTGGACACGTTGACCCGTGACATGCCACCCATTCTCTTACTCAGGGGAAACCAGTCCAGCGTGCTCACCTTCTATTCATAACACCACCTACACAACATATGGCTTCCTACTCAACCATGGCAACACAGCTTCTAGATCTCAGAGAAAGGAGACATCTACGCAATAATGTTTGGAGATCCGGAATCTCAAAATCAGATAGAGAAAAGCCATCATAGCAATATTTAAAAACTGATATATACTCTGAATCTCAAATTTGGTTTTGCAATATCCCTTTAAGATTATGTATTGAGAGTAAGGAGAGTGATGGGGAGGAGGGAATCGGAATAAATCCAAGCATATCTAATGAATAAGTATAAACATGAGATTGTGTAGTGGTTCAGATGGCTAGGTATGCTAGATTGTACTGCTGAATATTCTCCATTGTGCTGACAAGCATACTGTCCCTAGGACTACAGGATCTTCTCAATCTTCTGTCTAATAGGGGACAGTAGGATGCACAAATGAGGTAGAGCTATCAATGTAGGATGATTTTAGTGATAAGGGTATTCTGGACATTATAGGTTGTATGGTAAACTACTGTATAGTGATGCTATGGTAGTATGGTGCTGAATTATTGCCTAAATATTGTAACATTTGTGATGACTTGTACTGGAGGGGCACTGCCGTGAGCAGATATTAGAGTAATAGTGTAATGATGGTATATATAGTAGCTGTACATGTGGGACTACGTAGTATTGTAAAGGAGAGGTGAAGTATACTGGTGTAGGTATTACCTGTATATGTGGGACTACGTAGTATTGTATAGGAGAGGTGAAGTATACTGGTGTAGGTATTACCTGTATATGTGGGACTAAGTGATATAGGTGTACATGGACTTGTGAGTAATGTTATACAATGTAATATAGAACACCTGTGATTGAAAATGTTTGATACTAGAGATTATCCTTAGATATTCTATTGTGCTATATAACAAATGTGATGTCATAACTTTATAAAAATTGGTGAAAAGCTGGTTTCTATTTGTGAGGAAGTAACCAAGGGCATTTTGTATTTCAAATATTGTACTCTGCTCCAAGAGGGGAGGGATAATTAAGTTAGACGGATTTAAAGGGAGGAGGGTTTATACTTGGTATCATTGATGAACTTTGAAGCTAATGATAATATATGGTATGGGATGGCCAGTTCTGTTCATAGATGACCAGTAGTCTCTCTGTCAAGTGTTTAGGTAAGGACTCTTTGCCATCATTATGTGTTTTATGAATGGATATGTATCCTCTACATTTACAATAACCACTGCCTGTTGGACAAGTCGACAGCTTGTCGCAGTACTGACCTGATCATGTGTTCTGTTTAGGAATCGCCCTGTAACCATTGATCTGTGATATTGGTGATGTTTGTGTTCTGATGAGGGAAACCTGACCCTGGTTAACCTTTATGTTATCTCATATATTCTTAATATATGCAATCTTGTACCTCGATGTTCATTTGCTGTGCCAGTACAACAATAATTTCATTTAGTTAAAGAACCTCTTAACTAAACTTCTTTACACAATCGTGTCTCAAAACCAATTCCTATATACAATGTATTTGTATTTTAAAATATAAAACTATATTAAAATATTATTCTGTATATTAAACTCAAAATATTACTGTAACTATAATTTTTTCACTGTATTTTGTACAATAATTGATATTTTTGAGTCAATCTAAAACAAAAAATTGATGAATAGAATTTTTGTGATCTTTTTTTAATGTATTTGCCTTGAAATAGATGAGATATCTCAGTCCTTCCATATACTGTGTGATACATAGGTATTTAATGGTGTGGAGACCCCAGTGACCACACATTACCCAAGTCCTGCCCCTTTTTGTGCTAAACCTGCATGAGCTGTCCAACCATTGATTTTGTATTCGTGTTGAGATTTGCAGTATAATTTTTATACGTAACAGCAAAGTATTTTAATACTCCATAACATCATTGTTATAATTGATAATCTGACTTTTGAAAATAGGTAGATGATTACAAATTACTATTAAGCAGTATTTTGAATAATGTTTTAAAATTTAAATAATCTTTTGAAGATGTAACCAAATGATCCTAGTAGAACTTATTGGACTCATCAACAGTGATTACTTTTAAAAGACTACCACAAGTCTTGATAGATAAACCAGGAATACGTTTTGATAAGTGATCTGTTTATTGTAATGACTTGCTGCTTATGCAGATTTATTGAGGAAGACTTTTCCAGGTGAAAGTCTGTCACTGTGTCAGAGTGTTACCTGAACGTTATATACTATAAACACATGTAGAAAGATATACATGTGATTGATTTAAACTGATGTTTGTTGCATTTTTGAACTATTGAATAAAAGGAAAATGATAATTTGTTAAATTAATATTTTTGAAGAATGTATGGGATGTGTTGAACACCAGAATATTCAACATGAATGTGTGGTTGTCGTGAGAAAAAAATCAACATTTTCAAATTCAAAAAGTGAAAAGTGTTATTTTTATTGTTATTGTTGATTTTACATACTTTTACCAACATGTTAAAGAATGTTGTTTTCTACACCAACTTCTTCTGTATTCAATAATTGTTTGAAGTGATCAGGAGACAAACTTGCTGTTCATTGATGACTGTTCTGTACCTTGAATGAGTGCGAAAAGGTGCGAGGTCACTGGCCCAACCTCAAGTTTTCTCTGGGTACTCCAGTTTTCTCCCATATTATGACCACTTGCATGGTTCCAACTTGGCCAACAAACAGTGATAAATATATGTTGATAAAACTTGCATACCTGCTAAGTCGCCTGTATTTGTGCATGTCAAACTACAAATGACCTCCACGACCTGCACAGGTCATTGTATATATTTTTTATCTTCTTGCATTTGCACTGCTTAAATCAGCATTGAAAATATTTTGAAATGCCCCTTGAAAGCTTTAAATAAAAAAAATACTCCTTTAAGCAAGACCTACTGGTATATGTATTGACAAATTATGATAGTTTACTAAACACAACTCTGTGAGGAATGGCAATATTGATACACAAGAAGGTTGTATATTCTTGTTTATAGTGTTTGTATTAACTGGTATCCAACTTGACTTGTAATTCCTGTATTGTAGCTCACATGAGTATTATGAAGTGTTCAGTTATGAAAATAAATATTCAATTGTTGATTTCAATAGATGGTTAAGACTTTGTACAAGTTATTTCCAACTTGATTTTCTTGTTATATATCTGAATTCCTACTTGCAATAACAAGGTGTTCAATTCATCTATTTGGGGAGAAAATATGCCGGAACTGAATTTACTCGTCTCCTTTCTCAATGGTTAAAGAAAAATAAGATTTTTGTAGGCATTTCTTAATTGATTTTAATGGAAGGTGTGACAAGAATCAAAATTGACAGTTACCGTGAGCTGTAGAGAAGCTTCGTAATTTGTAACAAACATAATGGAATAGCTCCATGCATATGATGGAATTACCTCAAGTATATATGTGATGGAAAAAAATGTCTGTATACCAGGAAATTTGTCTCTAGTTTGACTTTTCCACCAGTAATGAGGGCGAATTCATTACGAGAGCGTATGATAGTACACAACATACCAGTTTTAGTGCGGGTAACTAAACGTGAAGGTTGAAATTAACACCGATCTTATAGGTATTTTATTGGTGAAGGGTGAAAGTTTCCCGGTATATGATGTTATATTGTTTATTTACACTGATGTCTGGTTATTGGTATAGATTACTGTGTCCTATCAATGATGTACAGCGTAGTATCACTAGTCTTGGCAATATATGCAATTTTGAGTTATTCCTATGACCTTTATAGTCAGGATTGGGAGATCTTGCCAGGAATCTGGTTACATTTTATTGTTACTAATACTCTCTACACAGAAAGCTGTGTATTATGCGGAATGGTCGGCCAACATCTTGTCTCCTTTGTATAACCTGTAGGTTACTGGGAATCATAATTAATGGTTGTGTATTGTTATTATATACATGTATGGTTTTGTATCATAGGATTCTGTTCGTAAATTTTATATATATTAAGTCATATTTTTCAATGATCAATTAAGCTAAGTAATGAGCATTTTTCTTTCTTTAATATGAAAGTAAGTCTGTGTTTGTAAAAAGTACCAATTTTATTTTTGTATGTTGTCTGTGTATGAAAGAACAAAATTAGATGCCTAGATTTTGTGGAATGAGTAGTATATTTTGTTCAGAGCTAATAGTATCATTTCATTGTGTTTGAGAGTAATTTTAGATGCCTAGATTTTGTAGAATGATAGTATTTATTCGGAGCCAAATATATTATCAGCTAATATTGAGAAAAATGATTTCACATTTTGTATATCATGAAACTAGCTATTCTCTTTTGAAGTTAGTTGCTTTTCACCTTAGACAAAGTTTTGTGGTCAGCTAGTCTGCATGAACCAAAGTCATTTAACTTGTTCTCGCATTCAGTGTGGTTCTTCTGTAACAACAAAATGATGCCTAGAAAATAATTCATACTACAGTAGACCTATATTGCATATTTAACCCACCTGACATGAATAGCCTGCGAGGTCATTCCATCGCGTGGCATCCGTCAACAGCATTGTTTCTATAACAACTTTTGAAGAACCATATGGCCTAGATTTCATGAAATTTTGTATGCATCAGGTAGATTCTTACGATGAAAGCCAATCAAATTTGTACAATTAAATTTACTCTCTTTTAGGTCACAGGTCAAAAGCATAAAAGAATCTAAACAATTCCTCTTGTTGAACAGCAAAACTGTGTTATAAAACTGGCCAATTAAAAATATAGAGTATCAGAAGGGAATAAAAGATCTGCTTTTAATCATTAACTTTTTACCATCACATTGATATATATATGTGTAGTATGAGCTCACTCACATCATATTAATAGTTTTACCAATACAAATTATGTTCTGATTATTCAAATTACCTGTGTTATTAATATGGTTTGTATATATTACATATTTACTATTGATTTAAATGCTCTCTTAGCTTTACTTACTTTTTCTCTATTTTCAGCCACAAGGACAGGCGTGCTTTAATCTTATACATTTGTTTCTTTCTCTTTTTAGGTCACCTGAGCTTTGCTCAAGTGACCTATTCTAATCGCTTTTTGTCCGTCGTGCGTCGTGCGTAAACTTTTACATTTTCAACTTCTTCTCAAGAACCAGTGGATGGATTTTTTTCAAACTTGGTCAGAATCATCCTTGGTAGATGAGGCTTCAAAATTGTAAAATTGGGATTCCTACCCCAACCCCTGGGGCCAGGGCGGGGCCCCAAAGGGAAAATTATCCAATATTTCAAAAATCTTCTTCTCCAGACTCAGAGGTACTACAGTGATTTTCTTTACGTGGAAAGAAAGATCATCAGGGGCTTTATTTAAATTGAAAATATCAGGACCCCGAGCTATCCGTTCTCCCTTGGGGAGGGGGTAACGTTTAATATAGTTTATATAGGGAAATAACACTTTTCGGTATATATTTTATCCATTTTCAGCAGAAAATTACTCAAACTTAGTCAGAATCATCTTGGGTGAATGCGAGTATTACTTTGTAAAATTGGGATTCCTGCCCCATCCCCAGGGGCTAGGGCGGGGCCCCAAAGGGAACATTTACCAATATTTTCAAATTCTTATCCATTGATGACATGACAAGTATTGTATTTCACTTAGTTTACATGCTGATTTCCACATCACATCTAAACAATAAAATAAAGCTACCAGTACCTATGATATAACTCAGGTGACCGCTAAGGCCCTTGGGCCTCTTGTTTGTTGGACCTATTTATTTCTGATTCAAACTTTATTTATACTTTTGACAATTTCTGTTACCTGTTTCTGTTTAATTTATCGAAATGTGAATTAAAGTTAAGGATAAATGCTGCCTTACAGATTGTACATGTGGTTGGGGTTTGAGTTATCTCCCTTACACATAAATTTGTGTTTTCTTTCTGTATCTTGAAACTGTTCTCTATTTATTTGGAGGGAAATCATTTGACAGGTAATAAATGATATCAAAACAATAAGAACCAAAATTCTCTGGTAATTGTTCATCTTCATCAACTCTAAAACTTGAGCCAGGTATGTTTTGTGTATGATACATGTATATTGTATGTTTTTTAGTACATGTAGGTATCGCATATCTAGTTACATAAAAATACATCAATAGTACTTAACATGTAATCCTATCATGCACCAAGCTGTCTACATGGCTTCTATACCTTATATTGGCTTTTGTATATCTAATTCTTTCCATTTTGTTATTGTTTTTAATTTAGTGAAAATGAAAGTTAAAACAGCTGCAACTATGTTACAATGCAAAAATGGGGCATGTCTCAAAGTGGAACCACGAGGTCATTACTTAAGTTCCTCATGGTAATGAAATGTTTATGTTAATATGCTGCTCAAATAATTTAGTTGCACATTCATTTCAACCTGAATTATGTATATAAAATAGTGAAATCTATGTATATAGATATTTAGTGATCTCATTTAATTCTCAAAGGATAAAGTATGATATTAGGGATGACAGTGGTCTTGGTAGATTTTAAAGACTGTGAAGTTTGTCATAATAGAGGAAAGACTAAGTGTTTATCTTAAGGAAAGATAGACTGTTACTGGTATGTTTTTCCGTAGATCTTGAAATGCAAACAAACATCAATTCAGGGCTGGCATGGTAAAGGGAAAATACCTCATGAAATGTTTAAAACCAAATTCCCCTGTTAATAATAGAAGTTTTTAATAGACAACCATTTTCTGTAACTTCTAACAGTATGTTAGTCCTTTCAGCTGTATAAATGTTGAGATATAAAACTGCTCTGGTTCTAATGAAAAAAATAACTTATCTGAATTGTGCAATTTTTATACTTTTCATAGTTTCTCACATTTAGCCATGATTTGAAGTGCTCTATATTTACCATTGGAATATTTTGATCATTTTTAGCTAAGGGCTGTCCTTGTCTTCAGCACTGAAAAGCTGTTTTCTTATTTTAGAATTTATGATAAATTTCTGGGCCAAAACTTATATGCCAATTTCAAATTCTGAAAAACAAATGTACCACAAATGAAATGGTAAATAGGCATTAAATAAATACTTTTTACCAAATTCTTGAACCAAAAATGTGTTCAGTATGGACCAAATAAGGACTAGGACCATTTCACTGTTCTGCCAATTCCATGTTATTAAATGTTTGAAAACTTATCAGTCTTGCCTATGATATGCCTTCCAAAATAACAAGGTTTGTGTGCAACAAATAATTTCTTTGCAATGCAGACCCTACAGGCCTTTTGTAGCCAAACAACTTTAGCTTGTCATGTTATTTATGCTGTTCAACAAGTTAGAGGTAACATCGAAGTCACTTAACATCCTGTATCAACACATACAAACAGCATGGCCCTGGTATAACTGATGAAGTATTTCATTTATTGATTTCACAAAGTCAGCACCATGATGCTGACCCAATAAAAATACAGAAATTGATAAAAGCCACTGTTAGTATAGTTAGTGTTTGAGATGTAGATTTCACTGTTAGTATATATAAATGTTTGGGTGATGTGTATTTGTTACAAATATTTGAGTGAATGATTAACTGCACAATAAAAATGTTTATGTTAAATGAGTTACTTCTGTTTTCTATGTAAAGTTCGGTTCGAAGCTTGGAGAAACAAAGTTATCAAATTATCATACATGACATCCATCAATATGTTAAGTTTGGTTTGCCAGTCTGCTTTTGTTTTTATTTTTCAGACACAAACATCCATGGATGTGATTTGTGAATAAAATGTTTGTCCACAAAGTCCACTAGTGATATATCCAGTGTCGCCGAGATTTCTGACACGGCTGTTATTACATACCCTAGTGATATATCCAGTGTCGCCGAG